ATTTGTGTTATGTTACACGTAGCAATCTCATAGTGTCTACACTGATGGCAATTATGGATACAGTGGAAGACATATATTCATTGTAAATGTATGGGGCTACGCAAAAATTAAACTTGGATGTATGGTCGATGTCAAACTTCACATATCCTGGAAAGTTAACTTACAAACTGCTTGCACATATGATGAAGATCTGGTCTCTTATAAAGGATAGGGTACTGGCTCTCGATGCTCTCCAGCGAGTAACAGTTGGATTACAATGCGTTAAATCATTCTCTTTGCTCACCCAGAAGGGCTCAAATTTGCAGCAAAATTACTCTTCACACAATAATGTGTGCTTTTCTATTAAATCAGTGGCTGACATTTGCCACTTTCTTTCTTAAACCTATTTAGAATAAAGCCCCTTGAACTAAATTATAACGAATACCACAATAATATGTATTTTATATGTTACCACATTTTACATACTTTTTCAACTGTGTTACAAACATCAAAATGAAAAAAATACTAATTCCTGCACAAATGAATACTTAATTTGATACAGGCTATTGCCCATTGTTTATTATGCGATTATTGCTCCAACACGTGTTAGCAAGAACTTGGTCTTATTGGCGTTCATTGTTAGAGTTTGGTGATCCATATATCAGTGGAGACACCCACTGCTACTATCTTTGTGTAGAAAATACCAGTCCTTTCACCCTTACTCAATATCATTCATACAGGCATGGATGAGAACCAGCAGCAAAGCAAAGTAAACAAAAGTGCCGATGAGCTGGTAAACTCCATTGTAATTTACCTCTACCTAGTCAACCCTTGGGCCGATCGTGCAAAATTGCACGATGACGTTGGCCTTTTTAGAAATGCTCGTATTACATCCGATCGTTCTGAAATTCTGACTGTAGCATGTAAACATTCTAAGCCAATCACATGGCGAGTTTTAGCTCCGAACTATCAAAAGTGACCTTGGAAGCCCATTCCGAAAATCATTTTCGTACGTTTTCAATCTGCGACAATGACATCCGATGCGAAGCGTCAGAGATACAGCGTAGCTGAGGCTTTAGACAAGGTTTTTGACGATGAAAGGGAGCATGGTGGTATCTGTAGTGGTGAGGAATCCGAATTAGACAGAAAACTAGAAAATCCTAACGAAGAATCGAGGTAAGTAATCTGTAAACATTCTTGCGATATTTAAATACGTGACGCATGTGGTGTTTAAAGTGTAAATTACATCTACTTTTACTTTTCGCGCATGAATACTTGTTTTTTTTGCCTTGAGACAAACCTGTAAATGCATATTTGTGAATGTAAAGCAATATATATTGTGATCAAACATGATTTTGAAGCGACAGAGTAAATAATGTTATATAGAATTTTAGAAGGCAACGGCCTAAATTATCAGCCGATCACAGATCTTTTATTTTTAAAACGATAGTTGTATATATATCGACCTGTACATTATCTTGTATGTTTTGTATGTTTTTTAGATGTGGTTCTACTTGATACATGCCGAAAATTCACAAAACAAACAAATTATACACAAATATATGCGTTGTGAAAATGTTTGAGCGGAATGATATAAAGTGACAGTTTCGGGTTTAACTTCTGAATTGGTTTACTCTTGAAAAATATTGGTGGTGCATTGCAACTGAAAGGCTTTTGATATATGTTGCGCTTTATGTATTTTGAGGTTGATTATCTCATTTGTCCTTGTTTCAAGGCAAAATTTCAGAAGTCAAACAAAGAAATGTACTTCATCTCTTTGGTGAATCGGAAGAAAAAATTGAAGCGGAAAGGGAGCATGAAGAATATCCTGATTGAAGTGAAGATGTTTCAGTGGTTAGTGAGAGTGAGAGCCAGGGTGAGATGGAGAGTGAAGACACTGATGTTGGTGTTTCTGTTGATCCAGTGCCTTCCACATCCCATGCCACAGGTAAGTTTTACAACCCTGCAAGGTCACGTTGTCCTCTTAGGGCTAAAAGGGTACCTGCCAGCCGAGGTACCCGTGATGTTTGAGGTACTAGTGCTCATGCATTAGTAGCTCGAGGTTCCACAAGAGGTCGTGGTGGTTGCAGAGCCAGAAAACGCGCAGGCTCATCCCCAGAGGACCCACCCCCAGTGGTTACTTATAAATCATATGATGATGAGGATGAGGGAAATCCCTGTGATCAGTTTCCAACCCTCTCCCTTCACACCTGCACGTCCTCCTGGGATACAATTCGAACAGCCTTTACTCAGGGGTAGGATACATACTGCTACTGAGTTTTTTAAATTATTTTTTACTGAAGAACTGCCGAATGATATTGTTAAGCACACTGACAACTATGCTGTTCACAGGTGTGGCATCCGGCAGTACATAAAGGACAAACCAATTAAACGGGGAATAAAACTGTGCGTAGTTTCTGGTAGTTCCGATGGTTGCACTGTAGACTTAAACATTTCCATTAGGAAAGATGTTGCAAGAGAGATTCGTAAATTTGAGATCGGGCATGATGTTTAGGTAAGACTTATTAGTCCATACTTCAATCAGTGTTCACTAACTATGTGTAACACATCTGAGGTTTGTTATTTTCCAACCAATTTTTATAGAGATGTTTCCCGTATAACAAGGAACCTTTTTGGTTAATTTTTGCCTCGTTACTTTATATCATTGGGGTATCACTTAATTCACAGTTCAAATTTTGATGATATTGTATGCTAATTAACGCTGGTTTGAAAGCATTCAATGAGTTTGTTTCCTTTTTCCTGGAGAGGAAACACACATTTCGGGAAAGCTTATTTACTGCTGTTTCAATTGAGGTATAGCTTACTTCCGTTGTGTAAATACTTGTTGAGGAATAAATTTTTTAATAATCTAGGTCAATGGTCTATGGTTTTGGGTACAGTTTGGAAAAAAATTCAAATTAATTCTGTATTTTTTCTTTTTCAGCAAGATTCTCTGGATGTCTTGCCCATAATATAAGGAATATTTTATTTTGAAATGTTTCCTTGTAACTCCATTCCATTCAGGCCCAGGCTGTTTCAAAGTCAAAAGTTGTATGATAATTTATGCAAATTGTATGCCATTTTCTTAGCATGATTTAAAATACATGGATTTTTGAAGGCAAAATATTTTTTTCTGCAAAGCTTATTTTGTCCTCTTTCAAATGATATAGCACTACTCGATAGTGTAAATACTGTTGACAAAAAAAAAAAGAAAAGAAAAGAAAAAAGGTTGTCATCACCTTTGACAAATTATGAACTAGTTATAAAAAGGTATATGTTGTGCTTAATTTTTGTCCTTGGTGTAAAAATCATTTTCCTTTGGTTTTCCATCAGTAATGGCATAAAATATACTGTGTCAGAAATGACAGCACTGTGCCTCAAAATCTAATGTCGTCCTGAGCACAATTTCATATTTTTGAGCATGGCAAAGGTAAAAATCAAACAAGACCACACAGACATCATCTACGAGACAACATTGCTATGTTTTATTTTTTAAATATAGTTAGTTACATAAAAGCTAAGTACTCTATTCATTAAATCAGTGTCAATACTCTCCCTTGTAGCAGATATAATTTTAAGCCAACTTGAGAAATAGTGGTCTAAACTGGACCCTTTTGGACATCCAAACTTTTAAATTTCCAGGAAAACGTTTCCCAGACTTTGTCGTCCAAGTGGGAATAAATGGCTGCCACACTGTCATTTTAGTCTCTCCCAGCTGCTCAAACGTTGTCCCTCCTTTCCACAATCTTACCAAAGTCCCCATATGTGTAGTAATAAAAACATTGAGGTGAAGTGTGCAATCTCAGCAAGAGATGATAATCATGCACACTTTTAAGTGAGTCATCCAAGTAGATGTTTGGTGAGATATTGCATTCTGTTCTCAAAATCTAGTTAACATAGAACTGGGGAGTGTAGCAGTCAAGTTGGTGAATTGCTACAAGTTCTAATTCGATACCACTACTCATTTGGTCATCTATCTTGCCAAACTCTTTCCGGTTATTTGGGTTTCTATGGAAACTCTTCCCATTGAGAAGAAGTATGGTATACGTTTGCAAATTAATAGAAAAGAAAAGTAAAAAAAGAAAATAGGGGAGGAACAGGATGGTACCAAAGACAGTGGTACATTTTGTTTTTTTTGCAGGGGGGTAGTTTTTTAAGTTTGAATTAGGGTTCTAACCTAAGTTTTCTAAGTTTCCTATACGTAATGCTGAAATAAGGGTGTAGCGCTGTAAGAGACGGTAAACACGTCCAGCAATTTGCGAAATTCTAAATAAACAATAGTCTCCATTTGGCGCAAATACACGCACGATGGTTTTTATTTTTGTTGCTGTTTGGACACTACCTGTTCCGAGATACGAAAAGTTTCCGAGAGTGAAGTTCGAGGAAAAGTGGGAGCTTTGAGCAACAGATAATGTTTAATGACAAATACACGAGAATGTTTTCCGCCAAATGGAGGCTATTGTGTTCATCGTCCTTCAAATATTTTTGCAACGCGCGGGGAAAGTGTTTACGAACAGTTTTCCGTTTATTTCGTAAGATGTTCACTTTTCAGTGTTCGCTGGTACAACTGTATGAACACAAAACATGTCCTTCCTTCTGTAACAACCACAAAACGCTCTCTAATCTTGAATTAAATTGGAAACGAAGACTTCTATTGTAGTGGACGGGAAGGTTTTAAAGTCGGGGAACATCACTTGGGGTACTTCACAGATATTATCCAGTTTTTGGCTGGTTGATGTTCGGTCACGTGATGCATTTAGACCAATCCCGCGCGCAAGCAAAAATATTTGATGGAATATACGCTGAAATATCAAACTTCTTACTGCTCACTAAATCAGTTGCCATGGAAGCTTTTTTGCAAGCGCTCACTCATCTTCATCATCATCATCGTCATTATCATCATTCTCATAATCATCATCATCATCAAGATCGTCACTATCTTCATCGTAGTAATCATCATCCTCATCATCATCATCGTCATCATCATCGTCGTCATCATCATCGTCATCATCATCATCATCATCATCATCATCATCCTCGTCATCCTCGTCATCCTCGTCATCATCTTCATCATCGTCATCATCATCCTCATCACCTGGCTCTTTTCTGAACATTATTCCTTTTTTTTTCAGTTCAGCTTTTCGACGACGTGTCATCCTCTTTTCACCTGCCATTTCCCATAACTAACAGAGGACAAAAAAGGACACAACATCAACAACAGCACCAATTATGTGAAACTCTCAACTGGCATTTTCACACCAGATAAATATTAAAAGCACCTTGATTCTCCCCACGTATATCGAAATATTACGTTGCCTTCGCTATGGCAAAATACGCCTGTTTCATTTATTTTATGTAACAATCAACTTACATTTTAACATACAAATAGCTACAGGTGACTATAAGACTTTCTTTTTCAACAAGGAATCTCAGTTTCAAATAAAAATGAGGTGAAGGTTTACAAACACATATACTACAATAAATATTTTTTTTAAAGGGACGAAAACTGTCCAATATCTTCGAAATTATTTTCCACATACAAAGGATTACCTAAATTATTCTCTACCCGAGCGTAAATCAATTATTCAATGATTTTCCAACCTTGCACGACTACATGCAACAGGTTTTTCTCCACCATGATTGTTACACGATTGAAAGTCTTGATCGACACTGCTCATCAACATGAGCAGTGCAGCTAAAGACAATAAGAATCCATGTCAGCATCCATCGAACAAATTTGAAATATTTTGACAAGTCGCCTAAAATTCGTTTTCACTCCTACTTTCATATTTTGTAGCCCTACATGTCCTTATAACTGTGGTGTAGTTTTTTTGTGAAAATGTATTTTAGTTTCCGAGAAATTATTTTTTTCTGTTCGACCACTAAAATATGCAAATTTTCACCGAGAATATAACCCGAGTTATGTGACCTCATGTAACGGATATACTTGACCACCGGTATTTGTCAACATTATTCTTCGTTTTATCATCTAAACTTAATCCTCTGTCATTATTGAAGCTGGCAAAGAAGATTTATTTTTGGTGAATATTTTTGTCCAACATACTTTTTCTATGTCGAAAAGTAGCATCAAGACAAAGACAGTTTTAACAATGACCGATATGACAGAATCTACTGAGCTTCTAGCTTTTAAAAGACAGAAGGATGGTTATAGTTACTGTAAAAATTTCCTTGTGTAATTGTGTTTTTCTATCGTGAGACGAACTCAAATTCCAGTAAAATTTACTTGCTAGCGACTATGAAATATACATGGTGTGCCTACTTATCACCACCGTTTATTGGCAAAATAACTACAATTTGTAATAAAAATCAAACATAACACTCTTACCTTGTTTATTTATGATTTTCTTAGCTGTTTCGATTAATATATTACGCCTGGGTATTACTTTTTGCCAGGAGCCCAGGTTTTGCGTTGTGTTTTCCCCTTCCCCATTTTTATCATAAGCTAGTCACGCAATAATTGATACCGACACAAATGAATATTTACCCTTTATAGACATTTTTGTTTATGTAGAATCAAAAATATTAGAATATGTGCTTTTTGTGGTCACCAATCGTTGTTTCAGTGGCAGCATAGCAGTTAAAAGCGGGTTGTTGCCTCAACGCTATTGAAAGTATAGTATTCAGACAGGAGAGCAAAGCGATATTGGAGCGAGTTTTGTTCAAGAACGAGTTCATTCCGGTTGCCACATGGTATCAGAATAAAATTTATTCGAAATGAGTCATTCCTGAATAAGCTTATTGGGGTTTTCATTCCAGAACGAAACACTAGACGACCTTTTGTACCTGTCTAATCTAAGCGCGGTTCGACACTCATATCTCTATGAATATTCTTTGGGAGCGAGGGAAGCGTAGAAAAAGATAGAAAAGGACACAAATACTCGTTTTTACAGGCTAAATTATATTGCATGTAAACGCAGTATTAAATTCATTTCGTCCCGGAACGAAACTCATTTTGGAATGATGTAAAAGGTACTTTTGGGGCGGACCATTAGATTTTTGAGGGGGGGGGGGGGGGGGGGGGGGGCTAGGGCAAATCACATTTTTTTTTTGTAGGTGCTGACAGGGGTGGGGGAAGGCGACCGGAAATGGGTGAGGATGCTTGTCGTACCTTTTAGGGGTCAAAACCAGCGATCTGGTACCTTTCACGGAATCTCAAACTTTAGTGGACTTCCAGAGACCAAGCTGGTACGTTTTAGGGTGTTTTTAGCTCAATAAAATACCTGAAATAAGCATTACTAAAACGATTTTAATGCGCCCCTAGCACACATCGATAAAAGAGTTCTTATTTTTGGAATTTTTCAATTTTTTTGTTTTTTAATTGGTACTCTTTAGGGATAGACATCAGTTTTTGCCACCCCCACACTGATACGACTCAGGTACCTTTTATAATTTTAAAGGGGTCGTTTTCGAAATTCCCGGCGCGCACCCCCGCCCTCTCATGTAGAGGGGTCCCCCAGGGGTGCTGATACGTGAAGCACACTTGAAATTTAGCAACGACAAATTCTGATGTGATTTTTGGTGAAGAAAAACAAGTTTTGTCAGCGTCTAGTAGCTAGTGCGGAAGGGCCCTTTACTACCATGCGCATAATTACGCGTCCCGCCAGACGGCGGGAAGCCAACAAAGTGTTCAGACATAAGTATAGAAAACTCTGCCTCTGTCTAGATTTTTGCTATCCTATTGAACAATTCCCAATCAAGACTTAAGTCTGACGGGACGCGTAGTTTTGCACACGGTAGTAAGTAGCCTACTTACCGGAGCTAGGTTGTATGAATTTTCCAGACATCCTGAGTACAATCGGCGCTACACGCTTGGAAATTCCCCTCTCGGCTTTTGGAATCGACTTAACTTTACCTTTACCTTTACCTTTACCTTTACCTTTACCTTTACCTTTACCTTTACCTTTACCTTTACCTTTACCTTTACCTTTACCTTTACCTTTACCTTTACCTTTACCTTTACCTTTACCTTTACCTTTACCTTTACCTTTACCTTTACCTTTACCTTTACCTTTACCTTTACCTTTACCTTTACCTTTACCTTTACCTTTACCTTTACCTTTACCTTTACCTTTACCTTTACCTTTACCTTTACCTTTACCTTTACCTTTACCTTTACCTTTACCTTTACCTTTACCTTTACCTTTACCTTTACCTTTACCTTTACCTTTACCTTTACCTTTACCTTTACCTTTACCTTTACCTTTACCTTTACCTTTACCTTTACCTTTACCTTTACCTTTACCTTTACCTTTACCTTTACCTTTACCTTTACCTTTACCTTTACTTTACCTTTACTTTACCTTTACTTTACCTTTACCTTTACCTTTACCTTTACCTTTACCTTTACCTTTACCTTTACCTTTACCTTTACCTTTACCTTTACCTTTACCTTAACCTTTACCTTTACCTTTACCTTTAACTTTACCTTTACCTTTACCTTTACCTTTACCTTTACCTTTACCTTTACCTTTACCTTTACCTTTACCTTTACCTTTACCTTTACCTTTACCTTTACCTTTACCTTTACCTTTACCTTTACCTTTACCTTTACCTTTACCTTTACCTTTACCTTTACCTTTACCTTTACCTTTACCTTTACCTTTACCTTTACCTTTACCTTTACCTTTACCTTTACCTTTACCTTTACCTTTACCTTTACCTTTACCTTTACCTTACCTTTACCTTTACCTTTACCTTTTCTTTACCTTTACCTTTACCTTTACCTTTACCTTTACCTTTACCTTTACCTTTACCTTTACCTTTACCTTTACCTTTACCTTTACCTTTACCTTTACCTTTACCTTTACCTTTACCTTTACCTTTACCTTTACCTTTACCTTTACCTTTACCTTTACCTTTACCTTTACCTTTACCTTTACCTTTACCTTTACCTTTACCTTTACCTTTACCTTTACCTTTACCTTTACCTTGGCGGGCACTTATTTAGGCACCCTACATCTACTATTGGAACCACGACTCCACCCAACACCGAGATTTGATCTTTGAGTGGGGCAAGTTATAAAATCATTGATATCTTTTGGCGTCTCGAAGTCGTCTACGTTGACAGAAATACCGGTGGTCAAGTATATGAGTTACATGAGGTCACACAACTCGAGTAATATTCACGGTGAAAATTTGCATATTTTAGCGGTCGAACTAAAAAAATAATTTCTCGAAAACTAAAATACATTTTCAGAAAAAAACTGGACCACAATTATGAGGACATGAAGAGCTACAAAATATGAAACTAGGAGTGAAACCAAATTTTGGGTGACTTGCTGCTGTTTGTCTGATGCATGCTGACATTAGCTCTTAAGTGCAAGTAAATCACAGCACCGTGTCAGTTTCTTTTTGGATGTTAATCATTTTACCTACAACTTTTGGTGAATTATTTCCTATCATCAGTACAAACCTTTAAAACGTAAATTTATGACAATAGAATCAACATGATTTTCGCTTTCTAAAAAACGCATTTGGATTTCACAAAAGAAACAATCCTTTTTGTTTGGTTCTTTCTACTTTGTTGGGTTAACGCTTCCTGTTAATAAAAGCGAATAGATGCTGGAAAAGATTGTCAGGAACAACGTCGTCGAATCAAAAGCATGTATGGCTTAACAGTAATTTCACGTCACATAATCAAACCCAAATAAAAGCATCCCACATAACACGATCCAAACAATTTCAAAAATTAACATTGGGCAAAGAAGTTTTGTCATAGAAAAATTCTCACAATTCATCTTTTTTTCTCTCTCTCATGTAAGGCATAGCTACAGAAGATTTGTCCATCAAGATTTCGCCAAAACGCAAAGGCCAATTGAATGAACTCGAATGAATCGAACTCCCAAAGTTTTCAATTACATTGAGATCAAGCATCTACTATAAGGGAAACTACTGCCTGTAAATAAATAGTATCAAAGTTTTGAAAACTGAATTTGTTTTCGTCTTAATTTAATCTTAAACATATTTTTCTGGAAACTGTAGTCAAACAAGTAACGCATGAACCATAAAATTACTTAACATGGGTTTACGGTCTCCGCCATCCCCAACAATGGCTCCTGATGTCAAAACAGAAATAGAAAATTTCGAAAACAGTGACTGTTCCTAATGTCTACATTCTTTCCCATGCAGACAACTCTGATAAATTGTATCCAAAATAACTTGCTGGAAACAATAACAAGTGATATCCTAAAGAGCATCTAAATAAAAATTAGATACGACTGAGTGAAACAACAAAAAGACACTTACAAGGTAATCGGTGAACACTCTAATATTTCTTCTATTTCCTGTTGTAATCAACTCTTTAAGCTCTGTCTCTGTCATCTGAACACCATCCAGGAACAGGGTCATGTACTTCAGCTTAGGAACACAGCTGAGATGCTGGACCAGGTCCCTGACTCCACTGCCAAGTGGATTGCACCCTAGACTAAGATAGCTCAGCTCTGGTACATCCTTTAGTGCACGGGCTAGTGCTGATGCTTCATCTTCACCCATACTTGTATTCGACAGGTCCAGCTCAGTCAGATTGGGTACACTGTTCAGGTTCTTGGCCAGTTCAATAATCCCGTGACCCAGTGTATTGTCTGCTATATTCAGGCGTTCTAACTTGTTTAAGTACAGTAATGAGGCAGCCAGTGCAGAACATTCTTTTTCTCCCATTTGTACATCGTGCAAGTCTAATTCAGTCAACTTTGTCATCTGAACACCATCCAGGCACGGGGACAGATCCTCCTTCAGCTTAGGAACACTGTAGAGATGCTGGACCAGGTCCCTGACTCCTCGGCAAAGTGGATTGGACCCTAGACTAAGATCGCTCAGCTCTGGTACATCCTTTAGTGCACGAGCCAGTGCTGATGCTTCATCTTCACCTATATTTGTATTCGACAGGTCCAGCTCAGTCAGATTGGGTACACTGTTCAGGTTCTTGGCCAGTTCAATAATCCCGTGACCAAGTGCATTGTCTGCTATATTCAGTCTTTTTAAATTGTTTAAGTACAGTAATGAGGCAGCCAGTGCAGCACATTCCTTTTCTCCCATTTGTACATCCTGCAACTCTAAATCAGTCAACTGTGGCGCGTGATGAAGATTCTCAGCCAAATGACTTACACCGCTGTGTAAGGGGTTCCATGACAAGCAGAGCTCATGCAAGTTTGGAGAGTGGTGCAGTGACTCAGCAATAAAAACAGCACACTTTGGTGTTGGATTGATATTGCGAAGGTTTAAACTGTGGAGATTGTAAGTAAAATTAATTCCGTGAATCGCACTTTCAATGGAATTACCTTCCAAGGCATCTGTCACGCTCCCCCATATATCAATATTTCGAGGAGCTGTTAATAAAGGCAACAAGTTCTTCAACAGAACAAACTCCTCAATTGTTACCTTGTATAACTTGACCTCCCTCACCAGTGACAAACAATGTTGTTGTCTCTGGTCAGATCTGTTCTCAGTCAAAGACAGTGCAATGTTCTTATCTTCATTCTTTCCCAGATTATCCACAGGTAGCTGAAACGAACAAACCGGTGCTGGTATCAATTCAGAAAGCAGTTTAGAGTGAAATACAGCATCTGTTATGCGATATAGATAGATAAAGTTTCTCTTTTCGCTCTTTTTGAGGAACAAGTCCGCATCGCGTAAATCGGCGTATTTGTTTACATCTTCAATTTCTCCAGAGCATGTTAAAACGACCGCGCTCAAGTCAAACAATATGGATAGAGGACCATCATATTTTCTCTCCCAATCTGAATAAAATAAGTATTTTGGAGAGCTGGTGGTGTATTTGAAGAAGTGCGTTTTGGAAGCAGTAGACGAGTGTTTCTCATTAAGTATTACAACATGGTTAACACATGAGAGAAATGTAGAATACACAGCTAGTCTGTCTGAGGCTGGACAACAGAACAAACAATCGACACAGAGTTCAATAAACTTGTATTGTTCATCAGACAAATCTTCGACAGAAGGCGTCCTAGTAAAATTGTAATTTGTGAGACCTTCTTTCTCTCCAACATAATGTAGATGGTCAAAAACAATGCCCACAGCATCTGATGACAACTCACAAACGAATTCTAGGACTTCACCCATCTTCCTTGATTTTTCAAACGTATCCATTCCCGACAGGCAGGTGACGGTTTCATTCTTCTTAACCTTCACCTCTTGAACGATGAACCAGGCGGCGAGAAACTCCTGAATGGACTTGTGAAGAAAATACACGATCTTCTCACGGTTCAAAGCGGAAATTTTGGAAACTTTGAAAAAACCGACATGAATAAGCTTCTCGAAGAAATCACCATGCGGAAGTTTGCTGAAGTTTAAATAAAGGCGGTCCTCCAAAAGAGCATCAAAAGCGAGTTTTCCTATTTTGCAAAGTTCCTCTTGATATTCTTCTATGCTTTTATCTGTTGCAACGTTTTCTGATTCTTTAGTTGTCATATGATCCCAGAGAGTCTGAATAAATCCTACGTAAATTTCCGCACGAGATGTTGGTGATTGATGCTTTTTCTTCTTCCAGAGAAGACACAACATCAACAATAGTAGCGGAATCTCTGCCATCGCCTCGAGGTCATGCTCTTCCAGGTATTCAAGTAGCCCTTTAACGTCCTTCTCATCAGGAAGAATCTTACTTGCAAACTGTTTCTTCTGTTTCAAGCTATCGAACCCATTAAGTTCAAACTGGGCGTGACTTGGCACTCTAAGCTCATCCTCTTCCACTGACAACGTTGTGATCATTACGCAACAGTCTCTCAGTTGCCCGCCTCTCCAAATCTGGTGAATTGGAGATGATTTCCCACCGCTGTACTCATCATATCCATCCAAAATGAGCAGCACTTTCTCCTGGTTCTGACGGACATATTCATACAAGTTATCGACTGCCATCGGGTCATCAGCAGACAAAAGTTCAGCGGTTTTCAAAATGCTACAGAGGTCCGGAATATCACAAACGTCTCGTAACCTGATTAACAGTAAAAGAGTGAACTTTTTGAGAATCTCCTTTTTGCCATTTGCCCAATCCACAGCTACTTTTTGAGTGAAAGTAGACTTTCCTATTCCAGGTCTTCCATACACTAGAATTCGTCTACGGATGGGATGATGTTCGTCACCTTCAAATACTTCACTGCTGTCTCCCAGTCTTTTTTTGGTTGTCCCGTCAGGTTTTCTGTGGTCTTGTAAAAACGTTAACTGTATGTAAATGTCATTAATGTGTACCGTGTTGTCTGGGTCCCATGGTGTTATTTTCACTCGACACATGGTGTTGTAAAACGCCCTCAACTGATTCTGGCACCATTTCAAAAATCCCGTTACAGACGAGTCTGTAGACAAAAAACAAACAGCTTGGTAAAAATTTTCTATCTTCCACATCGAAAAGAACATTACTCGAGCAGGGTTTTTAAACAGCGGGGAGATTATTACTTTCCATCTCTAATTTGTAACTTTGATAACGTCACTTTTTAATTTCGAGAGTAGATACTCACATTTTCATTCTTGATCGGGTCACTATGGTGTTTTGTACGGAGGAGGGGGGGGGGGGGGGGGAAGAGTGGAAGGGCTCGGTTTGCACCTAATTCTCGAGTGTGGTCTTCGATCCTCCCGTGAAGGAGAGAAGCCTGGGCTCATTTCACGAACAGCGACTGGTAATCGAGGCTATGGTTTGTTCCGCTACACAAAAATCTCATAAGAAAAATATTGTTTCGTTTTGAGGCAAGTGAAATATTTCTCTGTTTAGCGAAACAGTAGGGAAAAACTAAAATCTAAAAGGAACTATGTAACACTTGGAATCCTCCAGTCCGAAAGTCAGAAGCACGGTGCAGATTTTGAAGAAGTTATAAACTGAAGTCCTCAGTGACAAATACCTTCAAGCTTTGAGAGCTTTATGCCCTGGTCTGTTAACTCGTTTGATGACTTCCTTTTATCACCTTAAAAACATAAGAAAAGTACTTTAACACGAGAGACAGCGAGGCGGGCATTTGATCAATTTCATTACTGATTCAATAACCGCAGGCAATTATTTGCATGTTGAAGAAATATCACCGGAAAAATGTATTACTGTAAGACTAAGAAAACCGTGAACACAAGAAATTTCTATGGAATGCCATCAAGTGTCAAAGAAAAATAGCTAATCAGCAGACGAGAGAAAGCTAAACCGCAAACAGCAACGCTAATGATTTTAGTTTAAAGGAGGATGTTATGAGTCAATATGAAAAATCGAGCCCCAGACCTTCGGATTCTGCGCTCTGAAGCTCTCCCACTAAACAAGAAAGAACCCTATGATAAGTTTCACAATAATAAGAATAAAAGAAACAGTATCTCGCTACATCTGTTCATTCAAATACATACCTGCTGTTTTGGTAGACGAAACAACTTGCTGTTCGGAAGACTGGGCGCTTGAGCAGGATGGCTCTCCCGGAACTCCTTTACTCAGTGCTGAATGTTGTCTATCAGTTGAAATACCTTCAAGAACACAAAACCAAAACAGACAACAGTTAGACAGTCTCATGAAGTTTGGGACAGACATGCGGTTACTTGTAGTTCACACCACCATGACTTGAATACTACATCCTAACCTTGCTTGCAAAGCTCTCTGCTCTTACGGACGTGGGTGTAACATTTCTAAAAATACAAATCTATGTGAGGAATTTAAGACGCGTGTGATCCTTCCTTCCTCCGCCTCAAAATTGAGCATTTAACTGCAGTCCTTAGAAGAGGCACAATGCTATAGTTGGGTTAAAAAGACTGGCACTGGGAATTTGTAGACAACGATGGTGGCTCAAGGGATCACCTAACGACAAGACTTAACCGTATTTCAGTTAGCAATGATAATTTGGTTTTATTAACTGAGTTGATAATATAAATTGGCCACCCTAAAGAGTTTCTAAGGCTGATGTTTCTGGCGTTAAGCCCTCTGTTGGAACGATTAGGGAAATGTGGGTTGTGTGTAGTTTACAAAATGGGAGTTGGGCTGGGGGAAGGTGGGGGGTTAAAGTAGGATTTTCTAGGTTTATTATGGGGGGGGAGGGGTACGGGGGTCAGGGCCGGAGGTCTTCCTCCCAGAGGGAAAAAATGCCATCAAAAGCTTGAAAACATCCCACCATCAATCTTTGTAGAAAGAAAGAGCTACTGTATGTTAAGTTGAGGTCAATGTCATTATTTTCAATTCCTCACCTTTTGTTAGCTCAGCACAACATGCATAAGCAGAGCCTGTCAAATTGCTGATAAACATATAACATTTGTGATCCAAGAGCTGTTCTGATTGGTCAGCGCATGATCATAGGTCATTAATCATGTTTTTAATTCAGTTTTGGTAATTCGCTTGCAGCAAATTTATAAACAACAAAACTAAACAGCATACAAGACCAGCTAGTGACTGCAAGCAAATATACTACAGGACTAAAAAAGGATCAAAGTTGATCTGCTTACCTTTGTAATGTGGCCAATCTTCAAAAATACTGCATTGGTTTAGAATGCTGACAACAAGAGAAGCTGCCGTTACACTTGCAAATGTTTGCCAGTTTTCTTTTGATTCAGTTCCATCTGCATACCCTGAAATACCCTTGATGACAACCCACTCTGTTTTCAGATCATGTGCCAAACTGAAAACTCCTGAGACAAAAAATAAGCTCTTATGAATAAAAAATTAAATTTTCTCCAACATCTATTGATTTTAACGTCTCCCGTTATTACGAAATTGTTATCAAGGATTTGTACATAACTAGAGATGTAATTTGGAAAGTCACCTTACATATCCCTGTAGTACGAGCTTCTCCCAGGTCCCATACCATTCAGCCACTAAGACTGTACCCTTACTCCCTCCACATGTATATGAAATACTGGTAAGTTCATCAGTAACTATCTTTATTCCTGGGTATAGAGACACACTGTGAGAGTAAAGGCTCCCAGCGAACACTGCAACACAATCACTTTAACCCAGGGTTTGTGCCCAGACCTCTTGATCTGAAGTTCAGTATGTTCAAACACAAGCTAGTGCATCTCTCAACATCGGTAGAAAGGCTTACCCACCATAACTGATATCACATAAATATCAACTCTCTCTCCCAGGATACAAATACATCCAAATAAAATTAATTACCTCTTTGAGGAGATTTTACAGTAACAGTTACTTCAAAGGAAAAAGAGATCTTACCCTCTCCTTCTGTCTCAATTGCAATTGCTTCAGGAAATGACTTCACTAGTTCATCTTGTCGCCATTCAGCTTGTACAGGCTCAGAACCACTCAGAACCTCACCACAGTGGACTTCAACTTTCCTTTCTTTAGGATTTTCAAGGGGTGGATTCCAACCATAACCTGCATATTGCATAACAGCAGCAATGTCTCTGCTTATGGGAGTTGTGAATCCACAAAATTTCTTTCCATCCTTTGAAATTTTCGGATAGGAAAGGGTTGTGAGCTTTTCTGATACAACCACATCCCCCAGCTTTGTTGATTTCTGATTCACACCAATACAGTGGCCCACAGAAAAGACAGCTTTTGGCCTCAGCTGAGTGACAGCATTCTTTACAACAGTCAAAGCACCACCAGGAACTTTAGAACCCTTTGAGCATTTCATCAAAGCAACTTTCAGTTTAACATCTTGATCATCACCAATGCTTCCAAAGTATATGTGACCAAGCCCTTTAAAATAGCTTCTGAATGGATCATTAATGTAATGGTAGCAACTTAAGAACTCACAGTCCTTCACTGTTAACAACAGAATGTCAATTGGGAGTTGAACATTCTCCCAGCGTTTAGAACTCTGGGTTAGTTCACATATCTCTGGAAGACTAATATTGATCTTTGGTGGGTCACCATAACTGTTCTTTGAACTGCTCTTGTCAGTTCTCACAGTTTCTGACATTGCCAGTTGGCTTCTGAAAATAAAAGCAATACAGAAACATATTAAAACTAGAATTCAGCAACTTATTACCTTGTAATTGAATTTACCATAATTAACCCTGGACACAATAACTAGCCTCCAGTCTTGCCCATTAATTTTAACCAATGTTTAATTGATGCAACAGTAAAAGTTAAAGTTAATTTATTTTGGGACAGAATTTTATTAAAGACAATCTGCTTCACAGCAGAAATCTACATAGACAATCATTTTAAAATCATTAGTCATAATAACTGGAAAATACAAAATTAATCACAGTGGGTGTCAAAAACAAAATACAAATGCTTATTTCTGGTTTTATATGACCTTGTACCAATTAGATGTAAAAACGCCTGGCAAAAATGAATAATCACATCTGGTGGCAAACATCAAAAGCTTAAACTGTACTTAGATCAAAACATATGATTAAGAATATCAACCTAAGGTCTTGTCCCAAACCCAGTACACAGAGGTTCCAGAAGTTATTTTTTAGCTTAACATCCTTTTCTTTAAGGACACTGGTTATATATTAGACACTTTTGAAAACATGTTCAAAGCACTAGGTAATAATTTTTAATGTGTTTGGATGATTAATTCAAGTTAAAATGATTTAATTTGTTAGGAAAGCATTACATGTAAAGTTCTAGATTACTTTGGAACATTTGCTTTTTCACTTTATGTTAAGCCTGGTCATGCTGACACTAACTTATTTACCATGAGCGACAAAGGAAACAGAACAGTGTGCAGCACAATTCCAGCATGTGTGTCAAACACTGTCAGTGATGGTCTTTAACCAGCAACGGATACTGATTCATTTTTAATGGGTGACAAAGGAGACAACCATTTCTGCTGCCAAAGCATATGATGGTCTTTAATTAGCCCCTGATACTAATTTATTTTTGATGAGTGAAAAGTAAACAGTACTGTGTGCATAGAACTATTCCCACAGTCTATGCATATGATGGTCTTTAATTAGCTGATCATTACACCTGCTCCAATTGGTCAGAAAGGTAATCTAGTGCAGCATTGGACCTTTTTGAGTGAGAGAACTTCAAACACAAGCTTTAACAAATAATCCTCAGAAGACTTTTGCTTGAAATGAAATCTACCAAAAGGCTAAGAATTTACCAGTTGATGATCACACAGAACCCAACAGTTTTCATTTTTAAGCACTGGTAACAGGAAAAAAGAGCTGTGAAGTCAGGAAGTGAATCAAAGCATTAACACTTGATAAGGCAATTGATATAATCAGAGCTGTAGAAATATACACCATTGAGCTGAAGAACATAGACTAAAAGGAACTGTAAATACACCCATTAGTATAGTCAGGAATCACAAAAACAAATCTGACACCACACTAAAGGTACCAATGCTGAGACTGTGGTAATCCCATGAAACAATGCACATCAATGTCCTGCCTTTGGAAAAAATGTTATAGGAAGTGTCTCAATAAGAAATATTTATTTTGCCACAACATGCACAACCCTTGTCAGTAATGGAGGAGATCACATCAAAAGGGAAAATTTTGACTGGGAACCGTGTCAAAGAAACCTGGCAAGACTTTCAATCAAGTTGACAAGTCCAAATCAGATGATGAGCCATTATTATATATGTCATGTACTCAGAAGCAGACAGTGATCATACCAAATACCTGGTGGAGCCTCAGCCAAGGGAAGGCAAGAGCTGTGAGAGGACAGCAAAACTATGCAAACAGATTGTAGCTCAGAGGTTAATTGGCTAATTATAAAAGATTACAAAAAGCATTAAAAACAGATCAAGCCTGGAAAACATAGAAGCTATCTTAAAACTTGCTTATAAATTTTTCTCCACGCATGTATGTGTAAGGTTTATTGTGAAATTGACATCACTTTTTGGGCTTGAAATTTAGAAAAAATAGCCATAAATTGCTAGGCAATAAAAGAATGAAGTATTTTGAGGCCTATTTACGCATATTAAGGCTAACCCAAGCTTTTTTTCTTGGCTTGGTAAAACTAAAGAGTGCTACAACAGCTACCTCAATCAAGGCAGCACGAGATTGAAATGGTTTGCTTGAGCATAATATTATCGGTCCTGATATATTAACTTAAAGTGATTGAACACCTACATTGGTAATTGCGATTGATGAGAATGATAAGCATTGAAAATCGGTTCTAACCTAAACCAATTCATTTGCAACAATGAGTAGGTATAAATGGGTCGTTTAAGAAGTGATGCACAACTGGAGGAGAAGGAGTTAAGTGGCCACTCAAAAATCTTTTTATTTTCTCAAATAATCTATGATTTGACCTGGGGAGTTTCCTCATGTCTCTCATCACTTATTTCTTCCCTCCCAAGATAAAGAGCTCTGTAAAAGCTATTTCCTTTTCTGAAAATGCCTTCTCTTCATCGAGGAGGTATCTTTTCAGACACTGTAATTGGATTATTTAAAAAAGTATGAATACAAGCTTTAAACACATAAATACAACTGAAACAACTTTATCAAGTTATTTCCTAGCCATCTATGGCTAATTTTGTAATACTTTGAGATCATTAGACAATGCTTGATTTCACTATAAACCTTACACTAGGCTTGGAGTAGTTTGTCAGTATGTTTTTTAACATATTTCATGTTTTTTAAAAAGAAACTTTGACTTCCAATGTATCAGCACTGTCTTAATCAATTTTCGATAAAACAGCAGCTAAAAAGTGTTGATCTATCTCCAAAATCATGTTTTTGGACATCAAAACAGCCTATTGACATAGATTTCCTTCTAACAACTGGCAATGTTTGCCCTGCAGCAATCCCAGAAATCTTTGTGCGGGTGAAACACAAATATCTGATTACTGGCAACTCATTCATTGGCCAACTCAAAATGAGTGGAACAAAATCCAAGTACAAGCTCAGTTTTGTTTTGATTCTGTGAATTGTCTGTAATGTACCATTATTGCTGAATGTTCTTACCTTTCTATGCTATGTCATGCTAATACTTGTTTATATATAAAATATTTATGATGTTATCATACATAATGTTGAGAATGTTAACCATCATACTGGTGTACAATGCATCCCTATACATTTACATGTACTGTGTAATGGAGCTCATATCAAGTAGTTGTGGTTATCAGTTGATAAACTGTGTTACAGACTGGAAGCTGTGTTCCTGGCTGAAGGTCTATTTATTATTATTATTATTATTATTATTATTATTATTATTATCATTATCATCTTTATCTTTGTTTTTCTATACACAAATTTAAACTTATTTCAATAAGGCATACAAGATAAACACTCACTTTTCGAGTAGCTTCTCCTGTGAGACAGTAGCAGTAGTTGAATTAAACTCTCAGGTACTTGCTGTTGCTGGATTGAATCAATCATCCACCAGATAAACCACTGATCCAGTAGACTGTGTGGCAGACTGCATTCACAACAAGCTACTAGGCAGTGATTAATCTGGTGGACAGTGAAAAATTCAACCAGCTGTTGGAAAAATAACTGTTCTGTGCCAAAATCACTATAAGTTCTGGCTGTTCAGTCAGTCAAGTATCAGAACACCTGCAGCTGTTGGAATGAAACTTAACCAGAATTCAGAATATTCTGGAACTAAGCTGCAACAAAAAACAATACATATGGATCAATTATCACCATTTACACCATAGGCTGAATTATACACGCACTTTGATTGGTTCCTATATCAAAATGTGGCAAGTACATCCATGGCACACTCTACTGTGCCTCATGTGCCACTTTTTTGTTCTTCACACATTTTGACATCAACTTTGATCTACTCAGCAACACAAAATCTATTTATCAAATGGAATAACCATTTGTTTTACAATTTGTTTTACTTTTGTTTTCTGCTCCTGAACACATGGATGTGCAATGAAAACAGGCTCTCATCTCTAAGATAGTTGTAAAAGACAAGAAATGCTGCGAGGAATAAAAGCCCTGTAGCACCAATAAAAAAATGTTTCTGAACATGATGAAAATGGTGAAGTAGATGATTTGGCTCAGCTATTTATAAAGTTCAACCAAGGTCACAGTTTTTTACCATACAGACTGACCCTTGGCTGGGAAATAACATTTAAAAAAAAAAAAAAAAAAAAGACTATTATCTCTGAAAAAATTATCTCTGAAAAAAACTGGAATGACTTAGGGCTGTAAATACGGCAAGATCTTCCATAAAGTGAACAATTCTTGAGTGAGTAAATGGTAGTTAAAATAGAGGTGATGCAAATTAAAGAGAGATGCTTAACCGAAAATATTTATTTGCCTAATGATAAAGGTGATAAGGCTTCCAAACAAACTTTGAAACATTATTATACAAGTATCTGACACGATCTGACGCCTGTCAATTAGAGTGTGTGTAAGAAATAAAAAAGTGCACTTACACTTATGAAAAACAACAAAACTTGTTTGGCAAGGACTGTCACGGCAATGTTTTCATTAAAAACAGTCAATGATCTTACAGAAAGTATTATTCACTCTCATCGACAATTAATTAATGTATGAAGATTTACCTCTCTTTATTAAGTAAATGGTGAGGAGAGAAATTGTAAGTAAATTCAAATTTTTTATTTTGAAGTTGTGAGAGTTCTGGAAAAACAAGATATACTTATGAAAAATGGTAACGAAAGTAGAGATGTACTCTGCGACTAGGAAAATACTGACTGGATAAAGAATCAATTAGATTGCAGGATTCGTTGCTGTGCCCTCTGAAAAAAAATTAAATTGTTTATGACACTTCAGGGCGTGAAGTTAATTTTTTTTTCTAATAGCCAATTGGCTCCTAAATTTTTCAAAGTGGTAGCCAATTTAAAAAAAAGTTGGTCACCATTTTTTAAGACAAAAAAAACCTTTTTTTACGCTGTCAGCTTTCTAGATAGACCCTCCAAAATTAAGTTAGGAAAAAGATATTTAACATGTGCAAAGCGGACACTAGGATGGATGATATACAACTTTAAAGCTCACCTAGATCCAAGATGGTGTCTAGTTATCAATCAAGATGCCATGTGCAG